AATTCTTTTCACCCCCTCTTCTGTGATGTTCCCTGAGCCTTAGGTTTATCAGTTGCATTGGCAATGTAGTAACTGGGCTTGGACTCAAGACTGTCACTCATTCTTTGTATTTTGATGAGATAAAGGTTTTTAAAAACTGTAGTTTTAGGCCAGTTTCTCAGTGCCTACCCTGGTGATTACAATTAATGTCTTAATTTAAAACAGCAGTCTAATTTGTATCCTAACTTCAGGATTATAATAAATAAATTTTTATTACTTTATAGCTCCGAGAGATTGTATGTGTCCCCTTCATAATGGTAGCTTGGGATCCAAGTGTTTCTAGTGAACAAGTGGGTAAAACTGTAATGTCTCATGGCCTCATCTCAGAATACGGTGTCACATCAGCCACATTCCTTTTATAGCGATCTCAAACGTGCCCAAAATCAAAGGCAAGGGACATAAACCGTATGTGTTTGCAAAAATGTTTTCTAACTGTCACAACAGGTTAAGAAACCGAGCCTTGGAGCTTTTGCCAAGGTCATTTGTTTGGCAAACATTGGACATCTCAGTACTGATCAGAGCATTTCTTTGTTTGAAAAGTGGAGGAATTGGAATAAGAAGTACAGATTTCCTTTTCTCCCCGTCCCCCCCCACTGTGAGCGCGTGTGTGCTTACATGCGTGCGTGCAAGCTTGTGTGTGTGTGTGTGTGTGTGTGTGTGTGTGTGTGTGTGTGTGTATCACTATGTAAACAGCATCTTAAGGCTAGGGATTCCAACTTTCTCAGGATAAGTTGTCTCTACAGAGTGCAAATCAAGATGAAGGGCCTAGATTTCTGCTACTTTTACACTTACATAGGGAGGGAACTCGGTAGACTAGGCTGGCTTCCAACTCACAGAGATTCACCTGCCTCTGCCTCCCACATACGGGGATTAAAGATGTATGTCACCACTGTCTGGTTATAGACTGTGTTTTAAAAACAAGGGTAAATAGCTTTCTTCTGGGCCAACAGGTATGTTTTGATTAGAACAGAAGAACTTGAAATTTCGAAGAACTCTCCAGTACTTCATACATTGTTATTACTATGCTAGGGACATAAAGAAGTGCATGTAGCTCAGGGTTGAGTAGCTGCTTCTCTTCCAAGGACCCAGGTTTGATCTCTAGCATCCATACAGGAGTTCACAATTGCCTGTAATACCAGTTCCAGGAGATCCACTGCCTCTTTGGATATCTATGATTTCATGCAAACAAACATGGTATACATATACACTTAGGCACACACATAAAATAAATATTCTTTAAAGAAATGTATTCAAATGATGTGACAGACTTTGATGATTCCCCCGTAGGCGGCCTCACCCTCCCTGAGGAGTGTATGGGGGTGGGATGGGGATATGGGGGACATGGGACAATGGGAGGGAGAGGGAACTGGAATGGTATGTAAAATAAGATTGCTTTAATTTAAATTAAAGTTAAAAAGAAATGTATTACATACAAGTATTTTGAAATATTGTAATGTTTTAATGTCTTAGTATAGTTAGGAACTGCGAATTTACTTTTGTCTACATCCTTGAGAAGCCCCACCTAACAATGTAAGCTGGGAAGGACTTGATAAAAGGTAACCTATTTTGCTGAGTGGAGAAAGGAATCTAGTCCCTTGCGGAAATTGCAGTGGTTAAGTGCCTGCATTGGGGGACTGAGAAAACCGATTATCAAGGTTGAAAGACTGAGGTGAATTATTTTTCCATCACGTTACACATGTGCTACAGATGACTGTAGAAGAAGGGGCAGGTCTGGGCTGGAAAGCCAGGAGACAAGCACTGACAGAGGATAAAGGGGTGCAATCTGTGCCATTTCTGGAAGAGCCCAGCACGGCTGTGGGGACTGCAGGTGCAAGCGGGGGCAGTGTGTAATGCCTTCCTTGCACCTCCTTGTGGTGAGCCAGCAGATTTCCATATTTGCAGTCCTTGGGTGAACAATCTTGGCAAGCAATGGAACAAGCCGTGCTGATTAGGAGGCTAGGGTTGTGGAAGACCTTAAAGGGACTCCTGTGGGCTCTGTCTGCTCACAGGAGAGGCGAGGATGGAATCTAGGGGGTAAATGTTGTGAGCCCTCCTTGGAGAGGCCATGCTACTCTGAGTTCATCTGATCTCTGTTTACTCAGACTATTCAAATTGTAACATATATGTATGTATACATATATACATACATACATTCATGTTCACAGGACATTAAAAAAAATCCCCCTTAACCAAGGGAAAGTGGTGTGCATGGAGACAGAGTTAGGAGCAACCCAAACTCTATGTCCCTGTTCCTTCACAAGAATGATGACAAAGATATTAAAACAGTAGAGAGGCCAGGACTCTAAATATTGTGTCCACAAATGAAACCTTTAACTTCTATAGTTTTTAGGATGCCTAACAAATTTTATAAATACAAGTCTTTTAGAAATGAGGTTTAAAAGCTGCAATGGAATGAAACCAATTTTTCAATTGCAATACAGCAAAACAAAAAATGAAAATGAAAATGGCATCACTGTACAGCTAGCTCTTGGGCTAAAAAGGGGGAATTGCAATGAGAACTATCACAAACAATTTTATAAGCAAGAAAATTATGTCTAAAAATTATAGAATGTGACTAAAGCCATACTTAAGAGAAAAATCCATCATCTTAAATGTTTTTATTATTACATTAAAAAGAAATAAAGTACAATATGTCTGATATTTATTAATGCTGATACTGTATAGAACCTGAACAAAATATATTTCATTTAGTCTTCTTAGTACTTATGAGGTGAGTCCCGTTTATTACCCTTTATGATAGGAGGTAGGTCCTGTATATGCCCTAAATAGACACATGCATGCAATATATTAACAATGTAACCTGTTTCCAAGAACTACTTCACATGTTTCTTCATTTAATGTTATGGATGTTTATTAATGGTTATTATTCTATACAGGTCACAGTAATAGCAAAGGGGAGAATACAGATGTTTTCCATCCTGCATAAATCTACTCACGATATAGATGAGGGAATGGATACAGTTCATCTTATGATTGTCACTAATCTGGCTAGCCAACCACAGCACTAGGGTTGTAGTCAGAAAAGTGATTCCAACTTGGGATGGGCATAGAGATATCTATTGGGGTGCTTGTTGCCCCTACTTAGGAAGTAGATCTAAGATGTTCAAATGATTATTTAATTCAAAAGAATCAAAAAGAGCATATATACATTTCTACTTTATTAATATTAAAATAGTGTATAAATACAGAGCAGTTGGGCACATCCATTCTAAGGCACTGTTCTGGTTTGAATGCGATTCCACAAGAGAGAAAGAGAAGCCATTACATTCTGTAATTTTAACCTCTACATTCAGACTCCTCCTATGTTACTGGGGACTAATCTTAACCCCAGAATTATTAGCAGCATCATACAGGGACCTGGATGCCAAGAATTAAAGACACATCCTGGCTCTGGCACTTCATATGATTTGGCACTTAATTACAACCTCTCTTGTATTGTTTTCCATTTGTTTCCCAACTCTTGTTTAACTAGAGATATTATAAACATGAATTATGTTTTGTTACTAGCTTCCATTAAGACTAGTACAGGACAAGTTAGGCACATGATACATACCCGCCAAATACTTATACATCACTTCAAAGAACTCGAATGCAATGAAGAGACATATTTTCCTTAGTTATACTTAAAGATGAATGTGTATCTTCATACAGGGAATATATTTGAATGTCCCACTTCTTGTATCTAATAACAAGGACTAAGCTCAACGAGTATTTTCACATATCGACAGCTTTAATTGATAATGCCTTTCTTCCTTACTATGAGATTTGAGTTGTTACTATGACTACATGAGAACATTTATATAAGTAACAACTCTGTATGTGTATGCATGTGTTTGTGTGTGTGATTATAAGTAAACTTAAAAAAGGTTAACAATCACTAAGAAATTCATAACATGTGAATTAGTGACTTTCACCTCTTAAAATGGTGTGCCTGTGTGTGTGTGTGTGTGTGTAAGTATAATTAAAATTCAGAGTCTGCAAACCACCAAGTAACCCACAAATTATGTGAATTAGTGATCTTAAATGTCCTTGAAATGGTGTGTGTATAATACAAAAAATAAGATGTATATTTTCAAATAATTTTTCATAAAATCCTTGAAACTGGAAATAACTAAGTTTAGAACTATAGGACTACCCTGATAGCTACAGACACTGGTTCAAGGCAGTGTGTTCTAAGGGATACTTGCAGAATATTACTGCCAGTTATTACTATGTGTATATGAAAGATTCTGGGGTCAAATAAGTTTGGAAAGCACTTAGCTACAAGAGGTGCCCTAGCCTCCTTTCCTAAACTAGGGCCTTTCCAAGAGTCTCATCTGCTGACGGGCATAACAAATCTAGGAAGGACAAACAGCTAGAAGCAATTCCCAAAACTATTTGCAGAACATCTTGCAGAACAAAGTATTCTATAACACATACTTAGGGAGACACTGAGTTAGAAAATGGATACAATTTCAAAAGCACTGAAATAAACATGAGAGAGTACCAAAACAGAATGAAAATCCACGGATACTTGTTCTTCAGTCCATCTAAATAAAGATAGATTCTACTTGTACAACTTCAACTGCAAGTAATTTCTGCTAGACCTAGCAAACAGTTACAAGCCTAGTACACCACTTTAATCACCATCACCACAGATGGCCAACTAAGCAGAGCAGGGAATGCCACAAAGTCCAAACTTAAAATCACATTTCTAAGCACAAAACTGTAAATGGAAACAAGTCTGTTCCTTAGGCCAATAACACCCTCTTCCTTCTAATCCTCCTGAAACATTTTGTATTGTTTGACAAAATTTGCTGCCTCATTTCATGCCACACGAGGTATGACTATCTAAATGGCTGCTTTCAAAAGGTTGTCTTTAAAAATTATACAGGAGAACAAGTGTGGTAGTGCTAGAGCAGACGCTATTATTCATCCATTGTATTGGTCCTACCTATAAACAACTGCCACCATTTATATGCTTTGTGCCTATATTTATCAGACGGTTGCCTTGGAACCAAATATTTCCATTGCAATTAAACAACAGAAAAAGACAGAGTGTATTAAATTCAGAAAAAAAAAAAAAACTGTAAGACTAGATACACACTCTTGAATTCCTATACCTTGAAAGATTTTTTTTTTAATAGCACCCCTCAAAGCTGTACTTTGCTCTAAGTTCAGAACAAAGGTTTCTAAGATCAACAGCTACTGCAGGTCCAATGTGAACTATCATAGGACCTGCTTCCCTTGACAGTTCTTAAAGAAGTCCTCTAAAGTGTGTGACCTGATGCATGATCAGGCCTGCTCGCTGCCTGAAGCTTTTAGAACAATGACTACACTTGTATGGCTTTTCCCCTGTGTGGATTCTTAAATGAATTACAAGGCTTGGTCTCTGTCTAAAGCTTTTCCCACAATAACTGCATTTAAAAGGTCTCTCCTCTGTGTGTGTTCTCTGGTGCAAAGTAAGTGCTGTCAGGCGACTAAAACTTTTCCCACAATTATGACATCTATGAGGTTTTTCACCTGTATGAGTTTTCAGATGTCTTTTGAGACTTGATCCATGACAAAAGCTCTTTCCGCACTCCAGACATTTATATGTTTCTTCTTCAGAGTGGGTTCTCTGGTGCCCAATAAGGTGTGAGCGCCGAGTGAATCGCTTTTTACATACAGTACATTCATAGGGTCTCTCTCCTGTGTGAAGTCGTTGATGTCTATAAAGGTCAGAGCTCCGCAGGAACCGTTTTCCACACTCAGGGCATTTGTGAGGTTCCTCTCCTGAATGAATTCTCTGGTGCCCGGTAAGCTGTGACTTCCGAGCGAAACATTTTCCACACTGAGGACATCGATGAGGTTTCTCTCCAGGACTCTTTTTCTTTGGAGGCTTCGGGTTGAGAGGTTCTTCCAAGTTGGAGCTTTCAGGTGTTTCACCTAGAGTGGAGTTCTGAGGCTCTACAAGTTTTGTTAAATCTGTCTGTAAATCCTCTGGGGGTGGCTCCCATTGATTTTCTAATTGCACATAGTCTTTCTGCAGAATAGGACCATGAAGAGCATTCCCTTCTAAAGTTACAACAAATGGGTACATATTTTCCAGTTTCTTCTGTTTTGAAGACTCTTCTTCATTTTTTACTCCCATCTCAAAGCCTGAGGAGAAATAGAAACTGAAGATTGCATTGTGTTGGGAAAAAGGAAAAAGTGGAGGAAAGTAAATGGTGAATGTGGGAATGTCTAGACACACTTCCATGCTCATTGCCCTCATGACTGCTGATTCGTCCCCTTCATCCTGAGACAATAAAGAAACCATTACTTACCAATCTTGGAATCAAGCAACTGCTTCATTTCTTTGGGATCCTCTAACTCTTTTACCCATGGCTCTTCTCTATGATCCAATGGGAAGTTCATGTCAAGCTTTGGTAACTGATAACCTGGTCATAGAAGCAAAAAGGGACAAACATGACAATGTGGTTCATCAAAGGTGTTTCTAGAATATAGACAGATGGCATGGATACACAGGCTTCTTAATCCCCATTTCCTCCACAATTACTGTTCCTTCATCTGGGACTTTTCAAAGAACAAAACAACAATTGAGAAGGCCATCCTTTCGTGCTTCCAGGAGAATGAATTGTGTGCTAAAAGCAATGTAGTAGTTATGTACTGATTTTGATAACTCATTTATTTTTGCTAGAGATAAAATAGGGAAAAAATCTTTATAAAATGTTGGTATAGTAAAAACTTGGAATTACTGCTATTGAGTGCTTACAAAAAGTAGTCTAAACATACATGTCAAAGAGGAGTGCTGTAAAAGAAGAGGGGAATAAAGTACATGTCAGAGGACAGTGGTATAAACATTCGTGCCAAGAAGAGTGGTATAAATATATGTGGCAAAGAAGAGCAGTGTAAATATAGGTGCTAGCAAATAGCTTACTGGAATAAACTCACTTAACACCTTCATAGAAACATTTCCATTTTATTGAACTTAATTGGCAGCAGCAAAACGTAGTTTATATATGTCAACAGACTCAGTAGCTTTTTTTGTTTTTTTTATAAAACAGTATTGAACTTGGCAAGGAAACCCAGCAATGCCATCTATGATACCATCATAGGATCCGGGCAGTGTTGGTGCACTTTAATCCCAACACTTGGGAGGCAGAGGCAGGCGGATCTCTGCCAGCCTGGTCTATAAGAGCGAGTTCCAAGATATCTAGAGCTACACAGAGAAGCCCTTTCTCAAAATAAATAAATAAATAAATAAATAAATAAATAGAATACTAGGAATAGGGGCTGGAGAAATGGCTTAAGCAGCAGTTCCATGCACTTAATATCAAGAAGCATACAGCTGCTTGTAACTCCAGGTCAGGGGCACCTGATAACTTTTTGTGGCCTCTGCAAGCACTGTATTCATGTCTACCAATGCACACATAATTTTTAAAAAAATATTTTAAGTACCTAGGAATAAACCAAACCAAGAATGTAAAATTCCTCTATAATGAAAAGTACAAACCATGTACAAAAGAAATTGAGGAATATGCTAGAAGACTGAGCAATTTCCATGTTCATAAATTAGCAGAATTAAAATTGGAAAAATGGTACTATTACCCAAAGTGGTCGCTGGTTAAATGTAATCTTCAAAATTCAAATTATGTTCTTGACAGAACTACAAATCAACCCTAAAGTTTCATATACAAGCACAAAAGATAAAAATAGTGAAAGCAATCCTGAGTAAAAAGAATGTTGGAGGTATCATAATACCTGACTTCAAATTATACTACAGAATCACAGAAACAAAGTGGCCAAAACTATAACTTGGAGGAAAAAAAAAATCATCTCTTCAATAAATGATACCTGGAAGACAGAATATCCACATGCAAATGCTACTTTTTTGGTTTTGTTTTGTTTTTCAAGACAGGGTTTCTCTATGTAACAGGACTAGCTGTCCTATAATTTGCTTTGGAGATGAAGCTGACCTCAAACTCAGAGAGTTCCACCTGCCTCTGCCTTCTGAGTGCTGAGATTAAAAGCCTGTGCCACCATCACCCAGTTTTCACATGTAAATGATTAAGACTTTATCCCTACCCACCTCTCATGCTACTGAAAATTAATTTTAGTGGACTAAAGAAGTCAGGCAGTGGTGTCACATTCATTTAATCCCAGTGTTCCAGGACAGCCATGGGTACACAAAGAAACCCTGTCTTGAACGAAAGAGACAGAGAGAGAGAGAGAGAGAGAGAGAGAGAGAGAGAGAGAGAGAGAGGATCAAAGACTTTATGTTAGATCTGATACATTTAAACTACTAGAAGGAAACATGGTAAGTATGCCCTGATATATGGATATCAGTAAAACCTTTCTGAACATAATGCCAATATCTTGGAAAATAATACTAATAATTGGCCAGTGGGATCCTATTAAGGAAAAAAATCTTAACAAATAGTATTGGAAACAATTAACAGAATAATGAAGTAGCTTAAAGAATTTGTAAAAATAAAGCTTTGCATTAATGTGAGGGGGTTACTATACAGTTTATATATAAAGAACCAAAAAAACGGGTGGGGGAAGGAAAGAAACAGTAAAGAATAAATGATCAGTAATAAGCAATCAGTAAATGGACAGGTGAACTGAAGAGATAGTTTTAAAAGTATGCAGTAAAAATGACCAACCAGGTGTGGTGGATCATGACTGTAATTGCAGCACCTGGGAGTCTGAGGCAGGAAGACTGCCATTTGTTAGAAGCTATGTAGTGAGTCACAGGTCACCCTGAGCTACATTGCACGTTGAAGTATGTGTCTAATTTTCTATTCACATGGACATCTTATACTGTTAAGGAAATGGCATTTTAAATGATATACTGTAATAACTGTAACTCGAATGTGTAGCTGTTGTGCAGCACTTTCCTCTAAAATTGAATACTCCATCCTTCAGAGAAGCCTTTAAGACAGAAGGTAAACAACTCAAAGTAGCTCCAGGAAGTCACTGAAACTGACCAGATTCACTCTGCCCCTTCTATCCCGGAGTAACCCGGAATAAACAAGCCAAGCTATAAAGAAGATTTTCAGATAAAACAAGCCACAAAGACCCTGAGAGCAAACCTGTTGCTGGAGTTTCTTTCTTTTCCTGCCATATCCCACTGTCCTTTGGCCCCAAACAAGTACACAAGATGCTATATTAATTATAAAACTGTTGGCCAATGGCTAGGGTTCCTTATTGGCTACCTTGATCTTAATTATTAACCCATAACTAATAATCTATGTATTTCTACATGGCCTTATTTTACTAGAGAACATGTTGAGTGTACTATTCCCCTCCCCCCCATGTTCCCATGGTGTCTCTTTTCGCACCTTTCCCAGAATTCTCCTTGTCTCCTAATCCCACCTATCTTTATGCCTCTATTGACCAAAGAGTATTTTATTCATCAACCAGTAAGAGAAACATATATACAGAAGGACTTCCCCCATGGCAGACCAGCTGCCTGGAAGAAGCAGAACTGTCTGAGGCACCTGGAAAGGACACTCTCCTGCAGGCAGTGCACTGTGCTCTAGATTTCCAGCTGTGTGAGCTGTCACGTGGGGTGGACTTTGCTGATGCAGCTGTCTTTCAGTCATTTCTGATTCTCTAAGTCACCCCTCATCCATATTCCTGTAACTAACCTCCATAATAGTCAGTGGATAAATGCAAGGGCAGTGAGAGGGATGGAGGCAGAGACAGAGGGAGAGAGAGGGGGAGACAGGGAGAAACAGGGAGAGACAGAGACAGAGGGAGAGGGAGGGAGGGAGGGAGGAAAAGGGGGAGGCAGAGTGAGAGACCGAGGGAGGGAGAGAGGAGAAAGAGGGAGAGGGGAAAAGGGAGAGAGAGTGAGGGAAATGGAGGGAGAGAAGGGAAGGGGGAGAGGGAGGGGCAGAGAAACACAGAGAGGAGGAGAGGGAGTGAAGGAAAGAGAGGACACAGGATGGAGGAAGAGAGGGAGGGAGGGAAAGAGAGGAAAAATAGGGGGGAGAGAAAGAGAAACAGGGAGAATCACACAAAGAGAATGTGTATGTGTGTAAGCTTGGAAATCAGAAGAGTGATCCACCAATTATAAGTGAACTCCTATTTAGGCAGATATTAAATCTTATTAAATTAAAGTTAATAGAGGGGCTACTATAAGGGCTCAGAAGGTAAAGGCCCCTGCTGGCAAGCTAGATTACCTAAATTCAATTATTGGGATACATGTCCAGGAATTTTTTACATAGACATATAAATAAATGAATGTGATAAAAGTTTTAAAGTTAGTAGCAAGCAAATTTACCAAGACATTAAACCTCAAATTAGTTAGAGATTTAATTATACCAATTCAGTTTGAGATGAAACTCTTTGAGTTCTCATTAGAAGCAAGGGAGGCTAAGATACAGTGGGATGATACAGTCAAAATGCTTTAGAAAAATGAAAACTGTTAAGTAAGAATCCTACATTCAGGCTGGAGAGATGGCTCAGAGGTTAAAAACATTTATTGCTCTTCCAGAGGACCCAGGTTCAATTCCCAGCACCTATATGGCAGCTCACAACTGTCTGTAACCCTAGTTCCAGGGGATTCCTGACACCCTCACACAGACAGACATGTAGACAAATCATCAATACACACAGAGCATAAATAAATAAACCAAACATCATTGATAGCCAACTTGCCTGAAAACAGTTATATAATGTTAAAAATAGTAAGGATAGACCCTTGGTCTGAAAGTGAGAGACTCTGAGATTGTAACTTGAAACCACATGAAAAAATAGTATAAATGAAAGTAGCATATAATTAGAAAAGGCGTTATAAATCAAGGGTCTACACCTTTTGTCACAAAACATTTAAGTTAGCAAATTCTGTGCCTGCAGAAAGGTAATATATTTGTTAATAACAGCTTATATGAGGCAAGTGAGAGAAAAATCTGTACACAGTTAAGGAATGACTAGTTGCCTATTCATATCCATTCATAAATGATAAATAATGTTTAAAAAAGCTGTAATATATTTCTCTTCCTTTCCCCCTTTTGTTTCTTTTAAAATCCTTAAAACTATGTATAGTAATAATTACAGCAATGAACTGTGAGGCTTACACCAGGTTTGCTATAATATCACAATGCAGAAGCAATGAATACAGACCTGCCAGGTGGTGGCATACAACTTTAATCCCAGCACTCAGTAGGCAGAGGCAGCTGGATCTCTCTGAGTTCAATGGCAACCTGATCTACACAGCAAGTTCCAGGACAGGTTCCATAGCTACTGACAACAACAACAACAAGAAAAGAAAAGGAATATAGACATATAAGGGATTAATATTTCTGTATTTTAATGACATTGCTAATACAACACTGAACTGATGATTAAGTTAAAGCATAAAAGGTGAACTGTAATCACCCAGTTAAGAATTAAATTTACAAACAGTGAAAGTTCATAAAGCACTTAA